ATTTGGGTAGTAAATAGTTGTGTGCACAGGGGTATACACTTAAATCTCTTAACTCAAATTCCAGTGCTCTGCTATGTAGCAGGCAAGTGTACTAGGTCCCAGCACTAAAAGAATACTAGGTCCTAGCACTAAAAGAAAATCGGCATGTTCTCTGTCTCAAGTAGAGTCAGTCACAAGTCAGACGAGGCTGACAGATTAGTCTTTATTGCTGCCTTGCAGTTTTGTTTTGATTAATCATTTCACAGCTTTCTTAATCCTTGGAAAATATTACCACGGCCATCCTCAAATGTTCCCAACTATTCCTGGAAGTATTTCTCTCCTTAAGTATCAATGTTCAAAAATAGGCTGACGAAGATTACTGAAACTCTAATTCTTTATTATCACATATATGACTTCCCTGTTTGAAAGCATCTATACTCTCCACCCCTGGATCGTGGCCAGAATCTTTGTTTCAAACGTGCTTTTCATACATTATCTGCAGAATCTAAGAACACCAAAGGAAATTTAGACAGTGGGCTTCAGGGTGACTGCAACTGTCAGTAATAAGAAAAAAGTTATTTCTAGGAGGAAATTTCCTTCCAATGGTGCTCTCTGAGAGGAAATCATGATAGTCTTTCAGTGCATGCACATTTGGAGTGCTCCTACAAGCAAATTTTTAACATTAGACATAAGATAGTCCCTATCATTGAAAGAATTCAGAGGAAAATGGTCGGCATAGGTGCCAGACTTCTTAGTATAAAGTAGTGACGGGAAACTGGAGGTCACAGACACATTGATGGGAATACCAAGGCTTCCCTTATACATATTCTGATTGATGACTACTCCAAGAGCTAGGAGAAGGTGAGAGATCAGGGAGAAAAGCGAGATGAATGGCAGCAACTAGGCCAATGCAGAGTGGACTTCACCCCTCAGTGATCCAATAGAAACACAACTACCCTGTATTTATTTTTAAGTGAGACATAATATATAGCAAAGAGTTACAAAAATATTAGGTATATTTTGGTGTTAAAAAACAGAAACACAAGTGTAGCTGAATGTTAAGTAACCTATTTTTCAATTTAGACCACAATCCTTGCACTATCATAAAAAAGAACAATTTCTGATTGATGTGTATGCTTCTTTTATACAATAATGAAAATTAGAATTATCCAAATTTAACCTCTCTAAACTTCAGAAAGAAATGAAAACTTTACTAGGTCACACACAAATGCTCACTTAATCACAACAAAGTTTCGGGAATAAATGTTTAGCTAATTACATGTGCAATCAATGCCTCCTAATGAAATAGTAAAAGTATAGTCAGGTGAATTCTAATTTACAATCCTACATAACATGTAGGGAGACTCAGTGTGTCAGTCAGGGTCTAAATAAGAGACAAAAACCACATAGTAATTTGAATAAGGAAAAGTTATATAGAGAATCATGAACTACTAAAAAGGTAGTTAACTACTAAAAGAGGTAAACAAGTAGTACAGAATTAGCAACCACAGAACACAAAGTTTGCCTATAGAGCTGAAGGAGAGTGAGCATGGCAGCTACTTATCGCTTTAGAAGTGGCCCCTATCACCACAATCACCAAGGCTAAGAGTCAGACATCTTTGTAGAGGGGGTGGCTACCACAGTAACCCTGCTGGCGCCTGGGAGATTTGTCGAAGTGTGTGGGTCCCAGAAGGTATGGGATACAGGTGGTCCTCTGGCATACTTCTCTAGAGGACAGAGGATCTTACCGGAAGTGACAGGCTACAGCTTAGCCATGAGGTGAGCACTAGTAGGTTCCCTACATACCAATCTGCTAAGTGCCAGTGGAAAATAGCGCTCTGGAAAATGGAAACAAAGTCCCTTCCTCCTGTTCTGGCTTTGCAATATCCCTCTAGACCCTTAAATTGGCAAAGCCTAACATCAAGTCAGCTAGCAAAGGAGAAAGGTCCATCAGGTCCACCTCTTGTAACACACGACATAGCAAAGAAGGTTGTGGAGAAGACAGGCGATGAAATGAGCAACTGGCATGCGGGCATTTCCACCATCCTTGATTGTGGAAACTGATAGAGGTAAAAATCTGTGCAAGGTCACATGTTGATGCTTACAGCCACAAATGGTAACTTCATCGTTCCTATTTCTAAATTTGGTTACTCATCATGTAATTCTGACTGCAAATTATTCATCAAAAAATCATATCGGTGGCATCACTTTACTAACTTTTTACTGAGATACAGATAAAGTACAGAAATAGTACAGATTAATACATTTTTACAAACATATACACTCATGTAACCAGCACCCAATGAATCTGTTACCAGTACCCTGGAAGGCTCATTCTTCCTGCACCTAAGCAGTAATCACTTGTATTTTAAATGTTCTCTTAAAATTTCTTACTCCTTTTCTTGTTAGATGTTTAGCACAACTAATAGGATGTACCAAGAAAAATAACGCAGCCTTTGTAATATAGATGAAGCATACAAGAAACTACTTTTGAGACCTATTTAATTTTATCATTCTACATTTCTTTCTAAAGTAGTCTATGGAAATTATGATGCTACTTTTGTTTTGCATAAATTGCTAATATTATCATATTCTTTTTCATTTTTCCAGAGGAAAAGGGAAAGACATATAAAGAACACATGCAGCCGTAAACAATCCTCTGTCATTATGCAAAGAAACAGAGGTGGAATTCAAGTTTTTGCGAATAAAGTCTTTTCTACTAATACCAAAGTACCCCCTTGGTGTGAGAGAGTTCTACATGTATGCAAACAGACAAGCATTAACAACAAGTCCAAAAACCCACCAATAATTTGGGTCACTAAAGAAGTAAGTTAAATATATGCAAAACCAAAATTTAAATATATAATTGTTTTTCTTCAAAACTCATAGCATTTAACATGTTAACAAAAGTGGAACGTATTTATATTATATCATTTTATTGCAAATAATGAAAGGAAAGTAACACATTCATTAGGAAAAGCAAGATTTAAAAAAAAATATTTTAAGACACTTGGATTTTAGAATAGTTCAGCTTTTCCGTTGAATAAATTTAACCAATTAATCACCATGGGCTCAGTAAACCAAGAGGCTCAAGAAACTTGATATTACTAATTTTTCTTATCCCTCTGTATTTCTAGATTTCTAAATCCCTGTTTTAGTATTTTACATTATCATATAAAATTTAAAAACCAATTGTTATATTGAAATTTGACACATTCAACTACATATTTTATTGTTTTCCAACTAGCTTTCCATCACAAGTCAAGTCTTTGAACTTATGATTAGGCTTTATAGCCTGAAAGTGGTGAGTGTTTTTCCAGAAGGTTTTCAGATTTTTTTTCAATGTCTGCCTACTGGATTTGGTTCCAAATTTTCTAATGGGAAGCATACTTTAAACAGCCTTGATTCCATGTTTTCAATATACTATTTTACTTTATTGCTCTTCCCTAACTGAGAGCACTTACAATCAACATATTTTTCAAGTTTTATATTTGGTAATATGTTGTTGGTTCTTTGTTTCCTGTTACAATGGGCTTTCAAAGATTAAGCGAATTTGCAGATTTTTCCAAACAAACACATCTGTACAGGACAGTGTGATATTAGAAGGTTCCTGAAATTAAGTAATACAATGTAAATGCTTTCTGCATTACCCATTTGCTGCATGGAAAGTGAGGAAGATTGCCAATAGGTTTATTTTAAGGAGAAAACTACTATTTTGAAATGAAATAGTAAGTTTACTGCATAGACTGTATTTTATTCTTAATCATGTTCAATTTGGGAGCATCCTCTTACATTTATCACAAGGAAATGATGTCAGGAGTTGATGACCTATTATTTTCAAAGACAGAGGTTTACCACACAAAATAAATAACTTTTTCTAGTTTATCTGCTCACTCCAAATTGTTTTAATGAATTAACACTCTTTCTAGTTTCATCAAGGGTGCAAGTTTAAAGTGTTTAACTAAATAATGCTCTGTCTAAGGCTTAGCTGCGTCAAGCACAATGCTGTCCATGTTACTCCTATTTCCCTCCTCCTCGCTTGGGAAGGACATTTGGCCACACAAACTCCTACACACACAGCTCAGTTATTCACCCTGATCTCCGGGCTCTTCTTTCCATCTCCTGTCTATTTTTTATTATTATTCCAGGTTTCTTCCTCTTCCTTCCTTCCTCCCCACCCACTCAACCCAACTACCACTGAAACTACTGCTCTTTAGTAGTTTTTCCAAATTAGCACTTTCCTCCATTTCCCTCCAGAAGTATGTGTGCTAACCTAATTCCTCCCTGGAGACCACTTGCTCACCTTAGCTCTACAGTCATTCTCCAGCCTCCGCTTATCCCTACAGAGGTTTAGACAGCTCCTTGCTCTTCCATTTTCCTTTCCAGAACAAAACATTTCTTTGGAAGATGCAGCCAGGAATTCCAAAAAGCAAATTCAGTGAACTAGTACTGTCAGAGAGCTCTGTAGCAGATGAGAAAATTTGCAAAGCTGTGGTCTTACTAAAGTGCATTACGGCTAGCGCCGAGCAGATTGCATTCTCATTTGTTACGTGCAAGTACTGCCAAGATCTGGAATCAAGCTTACCTATGACAGCACACATTACCTAGGATTCCATGCTGTTACAAAGCTCTTCTCAATGACCCTCGATAACTGGGATCTGAAGTTTGATATTGTGTGCAAGTGCGTGTAGACTCTACCAAGCATGTCATCATAAGAACAACGTAAGGCAATACATTAAAAAGTAATGCTATAGCCATCACTTTCCAAACAGTTTTTTAAGTAAATTAGATACAAGACATGTGGAAAATGTACCTCTAGTAATTTCACTTTTCTTTCCAGCATTGACTTCAGATTTTTTCCATTTAAATTGCAATGTAAACTTTCACTATTAATCTTTAGACACTGTAAAATAGACTGTTACTCATTTAGTCATTCATTCAATACATATTTACTGAATATCAACTATGTGGCCAACACAGTTCAACATAAGATATCAATAAAGCCTGGGTTTGCAACTTACCGTGAGCCATGCGGTGGAACCAGTAGTAGCCAAAGTCAACTCCCAGGAAAGTTAAATACCAAGTCCACGGTGAGTCCCAGGGCAGACTGAAGAGCCTGTAGTTCTCCCAGATGTAAATATAACTAGTCAGTTCAATGCTCTTGAAAAACAAACTGGAAAGATAAAATTTACAAGCAATAATTATACTACATTTGAGATTTAAAACTGTGCTAAAAAATTTAGATAATATTTAAAAATTAATATGTTCACATATAAAAATAAAATCCTTCTCCCCTTCTTTGTTTCTTATTGGTCTATCATGCCTTTAAGAGGGTCAGTCTCCTTGGAATCAAAATGATTCACATGGTGTTTCCTTTTGTTTCATAGGCATCATGGATGCCAGCTATTGTTGCTCTCAATTTCATGGAATTAAGGGGGTGTTTCTTTTTTGTCTCCTAAAAATACTTTTCATGGAATCTGTATCACATAAATGTAACAGTATGACTTCTTTTCTGTGATTTCCATGTCTAAAGCTTCATGAAGAACACAATAAGAGTACTTTTTAAGGGATATATAAAAGACAAAATTATAAGTAGTATCTTTTTAAAGGGGACTGTGAACTGCCTAATACCTTAAAATACGTTAAATCGTAAAGTTTGCCTTTAGAATAAAGTTGCTTTTGCTAATTCCGTTTCTCTCTTCCTCTCTACTCTCTCCTTCCTCTCCCTTTCTCATACACACACACACACACACACACACACACACTTTTAATGTTTTATAGATTTTATACTTAAGATCACAAATTGGATTATCATGGCATTTCAGTATTTCTTTTAGTAATATAAAGTACAGCTCTCAAAATGTAAGGGAACAATCTTCCCCTAGAAATAAAGTATACAAACCTAGTTAAGATAAACAACTGTTTTTAAAACCCAGACAGAATGTGTCTTGTCAGCCATTCTACCAAGCTTCTATAAATTCTTATTTCAAGAACTTTTAAAAATATATGTAACATACTTTTTTTTTAATGTAGCATTTTTCTTTTAAATTTCCTGTGATCAAATTTAAGATCAGATAAGATAATTACTCCTTTATCACTTTTATGAATTTGGTTGATTTGACTTTTCTATTTATCATTAACATGTAAAATAAGTTGATTATTCTACCTAATAAAGGTTTATTTATAAACCATGAACAAGTGAGGAAATCCTTAAATCCTAATTTTAAATAAAAGTCAAAGCAGCAGCTCAAGTTAGTATATTGTTAAAATTCATTATTTTAATAGTATTTATTTTACACAATCCGCTTCTATGAATTAGCTTGTAACTGGGTCATTTGGAGACCCAGGTCTTTAGTTTTAATCTACTTTTGACTTTAATTATAATACAATTTTAACTGTAATTTAATAACTTTCAAAGTGCCTTATATTTTGAATCCTTCAAATCATTATTTAATTAAAAATATAAAACACTAGGCTACTTCACAACAGCATTAATATAAATAACTAATAGAAACGCCAAATGCTTACACTTTCAAAAAGGATCACACATCATCAGATCTTAAAACTCAGTTTTCAATTTAAGATTACTATGGGTTTGTAAATTGGCCCCCATACACGCAGGGCAAGGAGAGACAGAAGAAAGAGGCAGAACACTCCAGACTGGGAGGTGGCAGTTCTAATAAGCAAGGGAACTTACAGAGGAGGTTTGTCTTGGGTGGCTGCAAGATGCGTAAGTCTCCACGCTCTCCCACCAGAACCTTAAACGTTTCCAGAAAGGTCTTAATTGGGTTCAGTCACTTGTTTAGTCCAGATGGTCTCAACAGCATCTTACTCTCTTAAGGTTGCGTCCCTGAAACAGCTGCTAGCATGGGAATTGTAGGTGGAACTTACATTCCACGGATAGGGAAGTGGGTAAGGGAGAAGGTGAGGGTAAGGGCGGTCTGCTTGCAAGTCAACCGGTGGTCGCATCTTCTCTAGAATCTCCTCCAACAATTATATCGTTGGAAACAATAATTCTGTCCCTAAGTATAAGTCCTTGACCCAACGGGACTGCCTACCCAGAACTCCTGTCACAAATCAGGCCATGCCCTGGATACTCCAAAATCCCCTGTCACAGTGGCCCTGAGCCTGCTTCCAAGACCTGTGTGGGCCTCTCTCCTGGTCGAGTCCTCCAGAGGGCCAACTTGTGCAGGTGTGTAAAGTCCTGGACGTGACCAGTTAGACAAAAGAGGTTTTTGGGATGTGCAGACAGAGCTGGGATGAGCAGTCTGGGAAGGCCACACACACGTGTGTGAGCTCCCTCACGAGACCGACAAGCCAGGGGCCAGGGGTTGTCGTACTGCTCTGGAACTCTGAGGCATTCAAGAACTTGAAATTTAACATGTATCTTCCAGTATGTTATCCAGGTTATTTATCAACGTGGGTGGATAGAACAAATTTTATTTTAAAGCACGTTAACTTGATAACTTTTGTACGTTTGAACTTTTGAATAAGATAATTCTTTGTTGTAGAGCTCTGTCCTGTGGAAACAGTTCCCCAAATTATGAAATCTTAAAAAGTGCTCCCTGGTACTCATTGGTAGATGATTAATCATATAAAGTTGAAGTTTTAGTTTTTTTAAAAAAAAGGTGAATAATATCAATTTTATATAGTTTAACCAAATAATTCTCAAAAACATAGATTCTACAGTTTGATGCTGGTGCCATTTGGACCAGACAATTCTGTTGGGAGGCCTGGCCTGTGAACTTAGAATGTTTAGCTGCATAACTGACCTCTGTTTACTAGATACTAGTGGCCTAGCTCCCCACCCTAGTTGTGACAAAAAATGTCCAAATGTCTCCTAGGGGCAAAAGTGTCCCAGTTGATAACCCTAAAAAACACTGATTCAGAAAGAAAGAAATGCAGCTTAGAAAATGCAGCAAAAAGTTGAAATAACCTACAGGATCTTTTTACATCAGCTTTAGGACATGATGTCAAAGCAGATCAATTCCTGTTATCATTCAATCATTCAATAAATTCGTAGTAAGAGCCTGGGTGGTGCCAGGTACAGCACAAGAAAGGGAGGACACATTAAGGAGGAGGACAGATATAATCACCTGCCTGATGAATGGCCCATCAATTCAGTATCTCTTTTTAAAGTTGCTATCTTTCTTGTCAGTCCCAGCGATAACTGAAATAGGCTTTTAGATACCAAGACTTCAATAAAAGACAAAGGGTCCCTGGAAAACTTCCATTTGTAAAACAAAAGGAACCTGCCTGCATTGAAA